ACCAATAGTAAAGGGTAAATGTATGCTCCCTAAGGGTTGCACGATATCACCGGAGAAGCTTATCAGAGGAGAAATCGAGCGATCGAGCAAGTGTTCAGCTACACTGAGCGCCCTGAAAGCTTCGGCAAACATGATATTGACCGAAGCCCCTGTGTCTACGAGGATTCGTCGAACATCAAAGTTGGCTATGTGAGCCTCCACGATCAATGGGTCGTTATGAGGGTAGATGATGCCTCTTTCTTCCTCAGGGTAGAAACATATCGGATCCCAGTTAGGTTTTTGATACTTCCCTCCCCTGATGTCTTCCACGTGAAACACTTGGTGACCAGGCCTCAGACTTCGTTCACTGTTTTTCATGGCCCTATTGGAAGATTCAGATATGGGTGTGCCGCCGCTTATGGAATATATGACATTCACCTGGCGTTGGTTACGGTTATCCCTTTGAGGGTGAAGAAGGAATTGATCAATTTTTCCTTCTCGTGCCAAAGCTTCAATACGATCACGGAGGATGATACATTTCTCGCTATCATGGCCGTTATGCTCATGGTAGCAACAAAACGTGCCCGCGTTATTCGGGGGCGTGTAATCTGGGTGCCTCGGCTTTGGTTTTTGGTATCAGGTGAGCTATGCTGGGGTAAATGGCCGCGCATGTGGCATTCAAGGGCGTGTATGTCTCATACCTTGGGGTAGGGGGTATCTTGACGCGGGTTTGACCCACTGCATTGACTGCCTGGGGGCGAGCGTTATTGTGGCGATACCCTTGGTTATCGGGATAGTGTCCCTTACTCTTTTTACTGAAAGGAGAGTGGTGAGGATGGAAATCCTTCCTCTTGCCTTGAAATTGATATGTCTGTTGATTCGGTGAAGCATTATGCAAGGCATGGGGAGGTGCCACTGCTGTTTGGAAAGTCGAGGTCTTCTCATTTAGGTGAGTCTGGCTTCCACCTCCCACTTGTTGATAAAGGATGGTTGTAGGGGGTTTCTCCTGATATGTCTTTGCCTCGGCGGAGGCATGGTTATAAGCCTGCGCCATCACCTCAGAGTAAGTCTTCCAAGTATTGGCATTGATCATGTATTTAAAGAAACAATCACGTAGGCCTGCCGTGAAGGCTTTGAGGGCAGTCTTGTCGTCTGCCTCGGCACACCGGGAGTATTCATGGCTGAAGCGGCCAGCATACATACGTAATGACTCGTCTGGCTTCTGGCGGATAGTGTACAAGTCATCTGCAGAGTGCAAGCGATCGGTTTGGAAAAATGTGTTGGGAAACAAATAGTTTCCTCAATTCCTCAAATGAGTCTACCGTCTCAGGTGTAAGACGACAATACCAATTTAGAGCTCCACTAGAGAGGGTGGAGGGGAAGAGAAGACATCGCTCTTCGTCGGTGTGCATCCGGTATGCCATGGTGGACTCAAAGAGGTTAAGGTGCTCAATCGGGTCCTCTTTTCCAGTATAAAGTTGCAAGCCAAGCTTTTGCTTTGTCTTTGCTTGAAGGGGGGTGTTGAGGATCCTCCTTGTAAGAGGGCCAGGCCTGGGTTGGTTCCAGTCAGGTATTTCAGCCTGACGTTCAGCCTTCAACTTGTTTACTTCCTCAAGAAGTTGTAGGACAAGGGGGTCCTGAGCGGAGTTATGTGTCACTGGAGCTTTCTTTTCGTAAATCTCCATCTCCTATTGGAATTAGGAAGGTTTGATCAAGGGCATGTGATTTTTCCCTGGACTCGCTGTACTGGCTTCCAGGGTATGTCTGTCGGAACACCTCTGAGTCCCCTGTACCCTCATGTCTCTCTAGGACTTGTTGCCCCTTCCCCAAATTGGTGGCCGGCTTGGGCCGTGGCAGGGGACCGAGTCTCTCAGAAATCCTTGGGTCATTGATCTTTGAGCTTATATGGATGGAATTCTCTCGACGTTGCTTCAGGAAATCCCGACAATCGCGAAAGACGGCTTTCGATCCTTCTGCCCCTTCAGTAAAGAGGTGTCTCCCTCCACTTCTCATGGTTCGGGTTGAAGCAACCGGGTTAAGAGAAGCCTCATGTTGATTATCAAGTCGAGGGGTAATCTGTTCCCTATCAGGGATATCTATGTCGAATGCATGTGACCCTCCATGTTGGAGGGCACCCAGTTGATGGTTGACTTCCACGGGGGCAACAAGCTCGCGTGTCTGAGCTTGCCTAGCTTCGTGGAGTGTCTCGAAGAGCTTCTCATATTGCTCCTGGAGGACCTCATTCTTCATTGCTATCTTGTTGTTCTGAGCTTCCAACTCATCGACTTTAGCTTGAAGAAGAACTCGTTTTCCTTCCTTCTTTCGTTGTTTCGCACTATGTGCAAGGGGGGGGTGTCATTCTGTGTGCTGTGGCTTCCTTCGCTTCCCATGTTGGAGAGGGATGCCTGGTCAAAAGAAAGTGTACGAATGATAGAAACCAGCTTGACACAGCTGAAGAGAGTAGGAATAAGTGTCGTTTCCCACAGACGGCGCCAAATGTTGATGCACAAAACCGGAGGTCTTGGAACAACAGAAAGTGTCAGGTTTTGCGACCTTCGCTTGGTTGCTTGGTTGCTTCAGTCACTAGTGAGGATAAGTACGTAAATGAATAGAGACAGAGAAGCAAACACAGGATGTACGTGGTTCACCCAGATTGGCTACGTCCACGGAGTAGAGGAGTTCTTATTAGTAGTGAAGGGCTTACACAAGTACAAAGGATCAAGCTCTCAATTTAGTGAGTTCTTGTGAATGATTTAACACAAAATGGCATTAGGAAATATTGTGGGGGAATGACCCCTATTTATAGAAAAACTTGTAGCTTTGTCACATTGACATGTGTCATGTTATGATTGGTTCTTGATGTTGACACGTGCTGCGCTCTGATTGGCTTCTAATCTTGACACGTGTCGAGTAGTGATTGGCCTCCTGGTCGGAGGGGAACTCTTCTGGGTCCTTGACAGTATAGCGTTGGCCGGTGCTCGGTAGTTTCGGGATTGGTCAAGTATGGTACAAACACGATTCATAAGATAAGACTAGACGAGAATAATTTTGATATAGGTATATTGTCACGCAATATTGTGTATATTGCTAATGAAATAAGAGTATATGAATAATAAATTTAAAAAAAAACCTCACACATGTTTTTATTTTATTGTTATGGTCGTTATTGTCGGATATTCGTTCAATGTAAGTAATTATCTCAATAAACACTTTCTCTTCATAGAACTTGACATGTCTACACAAAGTGCACTAATGGTATGTATCTTACGTCAATAACTTAAAAATATAACATTGCATTATCGATTTGTGAAATTGTCACGTTAGCACACCCGATCTAGGTAAGTCTTCTTCAAGGATCCAAGTGTAATGTTTATGCAATGTTAGAAGAGCTAGATCTTATTCTAAAAGAGTGTTTTTGTTCCATATTAATAGTTATCGGATGAATTTAAATATCTAATTTTATATTGTAAATAGATTAAACTGTACTCGCCCATCAATAAATAATTAAAACAATGATGATGCTTACCGCCATTGGTGTTGAGCAAAAATACACCATTCCTCTTTAGTACAAAAGTTGTTGCTATACCTCATTTAGAACACCCCAAACGACGTCTTGGTTTCTTGGAAAATTTGCATGGATGTGAGGTTGGATTTGTGTTCAAGGGCTTGAAGTAATGGATGTCCTTCCATTCCATGGCAGTCGTCAATTACCATTGGATTTGGACAAACCAACACACAAACAGAAAGCTTACCTGAATATTTTGTGTCCTTTTATTCTAGAAGGAAACGCTTATTGTATATGTGCGTCTCCTTTTCTCTCGTTGGAAAATACCTTTTTCCTCACTAAAGCATCTTTGGAGAGTTAGCATGTGTTAGACTTTTATTATGATCTATATATGTTTCCTTCTTCTCGACGAATTGTTAGTTCATTGTGAGACTTAGCTTATCTTTCAACTTAGTGTAGATAATATGTTTGTTAAAAAAAAAAAGGCCTATATATATATCCAGATACGTGACACTACTTTTTTCACACAAGTTTTTGTGGGCCCCTTTTGTAATGTATTTCCAAACCATCTAACTTTTAAGTTTTCCATCAAAGATCATGTTATTAAACTAAACATGGTAAATATCAATATTATATATGACAATATTTGAGAATTTCTTATATATTCATTAATGAGTATATATGGGAGTTACAATTGGTATTACATATGTACTTCACCAATGTGGGACAATAAACTACTATTTACACTTTAACTAATATATAACTCGCAACACATGTCTACCAAAAATCACCAAAATCTAAAATAATATGATCATTAGATTAAGGGTTTTCGTCCATTTTCTTCACTACAAATGAATGTCTTAATGATTTTGAATTGTCTAATTTTTTGTATGAACGATCTATGAATGATGTTCTAAAAAATAAACAGTTCGAATTATTGAAATACATTATGAAATGAGCCCCACAAAACTTGTGACAAAAGTTGTGTAAAAGAAGTGGTGGCACGGTTTCGCCTCTGATATATATATATATATATATATATATATATATATATATATATATATATATATATTTTTTTTTATATTTCTTAATTCTAATTGGAAAGTGCCGGTAAATCCTATTGTTGCGTGGCACATGAGTCATCTTCTATATAAAACGGGAGCAACCCTTAGAACCTTCAATCTTGTCCTACGTACGTTTTCTCACCAAAAAAAACCTTTGCTTAATGCTTTGAGAGCTATATCTATATGGATTCAGGTATGTATGTTTCTCTTCTCTCTCTTCTTCTCCAAACCAGTAGAAAATTGGTTGTACATCAGAGGCGTTTTGTTTTGTTTAGTTTCAGCCTCCTGGTTTAGTTGTTTAATGTTTATACATGGTTATGATGAGTGAGTTGTACATCGATCACTAATGTTGCATTCACTCGATCAATTTGTTTTCTTTGGTTGTTTTGTTTCCATCATCTTTCTTTCTTACTCAATTTTTCCTTAATTTTGCATTTTCAGATTGGAAAATTTTGCCTAACCACCTTCTAGGTTTAGTTGTAGAGAAACTTGCGTCGGATGACTATTTGAGATTCAGTCTTGTTTGTATGTCATGGAGTAGTGTAACAAAGGATAATCCTCAACGGCCAGCCCCAATGCTCTTCGTTTCCAGTAGTGGCAAACAGGATACATGGAATGTATACAACGTCGAGAAGGATAAGGTTTATGATTTACAACTAAGGTTACCGAACAAACGATTTTGTGGGTCTTCAAAAGGATGGCTTGTAACTGTTGATGAAACTTTCACGGTGACCTTAATGAATCCGTTCGCAATGATTCAAGGATGTGAAGAATATGAAAGTTCAGTTATTCGCCTTCCTTCCATGATGCCTCCTCATCCTCAGCGTGTCAAGTATTGAGCTCGGCGATACGATTGTTATGTTGACAAGGCTACAATTTCAGCAGATCCGGTTTTAAATGCAGATGAATGTGTTGTTGAGGTCATATTCAGGGATGGTTAGCGATTGGCTTCTATTAGATTTGGTAAAGATAAAACTTGGACGTATATATCGTGAACATAAGACGTGGCACTTCATTGATGATGTTGTTCATGTTGGAGATAAAGTTTACTGCGTCGATACGTCTGATGGAATTAACCTTTCTGTATATGAGGATTGCAATAGTCTGGAGGAGTATAAAATGAACAGGTGGTATAATTCTATTGGGTCACATAATATGGTCAGCAAGTTGGGTACTCCCAAGTAGTATCCAATTCTAATTGTGGAGTTATTCCTATTCTTTAGGGGACTAAACTGCCTGCACATTGGTTCTCTCCGTATAAACCTTAGAATCCTTCAATCTTCTCCTACGTTTTCTCACCCAAAAAAAAAAATGTAGAACCAAAAGCCTTTTCTGAGAGCTATGGATTCAGGTATGTATGTTTCTCTTCTCTCTCTTATTCTTCAAACCAGTAGAAAATAGGTTGTACATCAGAGGCGTTTTTGTTTTGTTTTGTTTAAGCCTCCTGGTTTAGTTGTTTAATTTCCATGTTTATGCATGGTCGAGCATCCGCTCGACCAACTTGTTTTTTATTTTTAGTTGTTTAATTTCCATCATCTCTCTTTCTTATCCAATTTTTCCTTAATTTTGCCTTTTCAGATTGGAAAAATTTGCCTAACCACCTTCTGGATTTAGTGTTAGAGAAACTTGCATCGGATGACTTTTTGAGATTCAGTCTTGTTTGTATGTCATGGAGTAGTGTAACAAAGGATAATCCTCGACGGCCAGCCCCAATGCTCTTAGTTCCCAGTGGTGGCAAACAGGATACATGGAATGTATACAACGTCGAGAAGGATAAGGTTTCTGATTTACAATTAAGGTTGCCGAACAAACGATTTTGTGGGTCTTCAAAAGGATGGCTTGTAACCGTCGATGAAACTTTCGCGGTGACCTTAATGAATCCGTTCGCAAGGATTCAAGGATGTGAAGAGAATGAAAATTCAATCATTCGCCTTCCTTCACTGATGCCTCCTTGTCCTACACGCACTATGTACTGGGCTCGACGATACGACCGTTATGTTCACAAGGCTACCATTTCAGCAGATCCGGTTTTAAATGCAGATGAATGTATTGTTGAGGTCATATTCGGGGATGGTTATCTATTGGCTTCTGTTAGACCTGGTAAAGATAAAACTTGGACCTATCGTGAACATAGGAAGTGGCACTTCATTGATGATGTTGTTCATGTTGGAGGTAAAGTTTACTGCGTCGATAGGTCTGATAGACTTAACCTAGATGGGAAAATTATTGAAGAACGTATAGTTCGCAAGAGATATCTCGTGGATCTCAACGAGAAAGAAGTTTTAATGGTGAAAAGGTGCTTCAGGATGGAAAAAAAAGAAGGGAACAGACACCCCAGCTTTGTGACACAAAAATTTGAAATTTTTAGATGGAACTTTGAAGAAAGTAAGTGGATCGAGATGACAAGTTTGGGTGATGTTGCTCTCTTTGTGGGGGCAAACGATTCGGCATCTGTTTTGACCTCAAAGTTACCAGGATGTCAGCCGGATTGCATATACTTCAACTCAGATTGGCATTGTGTAGAATGGAATCGCCAAGACTATGGTGTGTATAACTTAAAGACTCAAAGCATTTCAAAGCCTTACGCTCCACATGCATTGACACTACTGAATATGGCCAAGCAAAAATCAATCTGGTTTCTGCCTACTCTTCGGTCATGAATTAATGCTCCTTCCATCTCTTCTTCTTTTACTTTTCTTCTATCTGTAACTTGATGGTCTTACTCTTGTTCTTCTTCTACTATTATTGTAATTTCCAGATGCAAATTTTATTGTTGAAGGTTTTCCTTTGGGATTGTAGCTCTATTATTTAACATTTGTTTCGCATAATATCGAATATAGAATGCTTATACCATAAAAGAACGTTCACATAATAGTGCAAATAATCTGAAATAAAATCCCCATTGGTTTTTCTGACAAATTATGTTTACTTGAAAGAAAGAATGATTTTCCTCTAACATCATATTTTCTTGAAAGAAAGAAATACAATAGGCGTTCCCACCCCCGGGAGACCCTCGCAAAGCAGAGAGTCTTGTTGGATTCGAAAATGGGTTATCCTAGCTTATCTTGGGGCACACATTACTTCATTACGTCTCATACCACGAAGACGAGGGAAATCAGACATTTTCTTGACCAAGTAAGAGATTTTCCCCTAGTGACACATCTTGAGAAAATTGGAGTCAAATTTCAATGTCCATCCTATATGAAAGCTAAGTTGGACGTAAACTTCAACCCCATTACTGGTGTGATGGAAATTCCACATATGATAATTCAAGTCAACACAGAATCCGTCTTCACAGTGTTCAGTGAGGCACCATGAATGTTGCATTTTGTCTTATGTCATGCTGTTCAACCACCTTATCAAGTCTACCAAAGATTTAGACTCTCTCATTCACAAACAAATTATATACACCGAGTTGACAAAGGAGGACGCTGTTTCTTTGCTCAATAGGCTTTGCAATGACACTGAACGCATCTCCTTCTCTTGTACTGAACTCCAGATATGACGGCCCTCAACTGGCAAGCATCAAGGAAACATACCCTCGAGATACTCTTCAAAATTATCTGTATCATCGTCTTTGTCATCAACTCTATCTTCACTAGCGGAGATTGAAGCCTTTCTCCCTGCAAAAAAATTAAAAATTAAAATTTCGAACCGGTGTAAAATGAAAATTATGAGTATGAAACGACATAAAAAGAAGAAAGATGTCTCATCCTTGTAGCCATGTTGAACGATCCCATTAAAAGAATGTGATTCTCCTTGACCAGAATCATGCAGAACCAAGGGACATGATAGGCACATATTCTCTCTAAAAACCACTAGATTTTCACTAGATTTTGATCGAGATGACCAGAAACATGCAGAACCATGCAAGAGAATATGTGTCCCTATTCTCTCTAAAAACCCGTAATCTAAAGAAACATGTTCATACATTTGCAATCTTGATATAAACATTGTCATCTCCGCATGTAAAATTATTAGTTTTTGAAAACCATAAAATGATATAAATGATCTTCAAGCTTATCATTTAAGAGAAACCGTTTAATCCAAACATCAAAAAGAAGACAATAAGAGTCATTTTTAATATGTCAAATTGATCAAGATGCAAACAAAGTGACATCTAATGACTCCCAGCGACAGAATTAACAGCAGGCATAACAAAAATTAATTAGCAAATTATACTTGATGATGCCTGCAAAATACCTTCTAAACTTATGTAAAAAGAAATGACAAAATATACAGAAAGAGCCTAAAACAGTAATGATAAACACGGACTAACCTCTGACAAGTTACCAATTTGACAAGGGCTTGCTTGTTTTCTCCAGCTTCATCACCTGCAAAATATATAATACCTAAAACAATTAAGACGCAAAAACTTATTATGTGGCATAAATATAGATAAAAGAGCCAGGGAAAGCGATCTTTGGGACTCCTAATCCAGAGGATTGAATACAAAAGAAGAATAAAAATTTCCTCATTTAAGATAGAAGTTCAGAGCAGGGGAAAAAGTTTTAGTCTAGACGCCACAAGGTAGTTCATCTTATCAAAACTATTTATTGACTTAGACTTCAACCAACTCCTTAGTATACTTCTTGTCTAACCAAGTCATAAAACGTGTAACAGGAGACCGGTAACATATGCAAGCAAAAATGCACGGTGCTGTTTGATACTGGATATTCTATCTATGCATCAGAAACTTGAACATCCCCAACCAATGAAAATTTACAGGAGTCCACCATAAGAAGCAACCAATTCACCTACTACACTTGAATCTAACCCTGAAACCAGACTACAACTATTTGAAATAAATGTGTAGTTGTTTCAATTCAAATAGAAGCTACTCTACTCTTTTGTTGACACCCCTCTATATATATAAACCAACAAATGAGCACAATGCCTAAAATAGTTCAGATTCTAATGAAAATTACCATAAGCAAACTGTTAACTGGAAGAAGAAGCAGACTTGAAAATTATGATCACATGGAATGCTACATTTATATACAAACTTTTACCACAACACACTCCTCCAACATTAACATTAAATGGACAATTAATAGAGGATAGCGCTATTCACACACCCATTTTTACTTCCCACACATCCTTGTTAATTTTTGGCCATTGATCTTCTTCAATTCATTCGATCTGACGGCCGAAAATTAAGAGGGGTGTGTGGATAGCAATACCCTTAAACGATTGCCTTTTAAAATGATTCAATTAATTTCACACCCCATCAAATACTATGACTGACTAATGCAGAAACTTGCCTCATAGCTTGCTAAACCGTCTTTTACATCACAATGTTTGTTACCACATATGGTCTGCCCTGTCAGAAAACATTATCAAGTCAATCTTCCACTTTGAATAAATTGATACATAATATAACGTTGCAAAATAAGAATTTAGTCAAACAGGGTCGAACTAGAAGTTTTAAGTTTGCATGTGGAACGTTTTCTCTTGGAAGTGGATGAGCCTCTTTTTCTTTTCCTTTCATGAGTCAAGAATAATAAAATAATAAGAGCATCTCGGCCATTATTGAGGCCAATTGGCAATCGTTATTCCATGAAGCAACAATATGGTGCCAGGTCAACTACTAAATGCAAGAGATATAATTTTGAAAAACTCAAAAATCACGTTTTCAAAACAAAGGAAAAATAATTACATAATTGAAATTGAAAAATTTTAAGGAAACAACCTCCTATATACATGTGACAATCTACTTATACTATAAATTGGAAGATTCACACACTCCTAAATCTCGTCTTCCAAAAAACACCAAGTGATCTTAATTATATTCAAATTATGTTTGTTCTTAATAATTAGTTTTCTATACAAAAGAAATCCACTTAACATCTAAGAGAAGTTAGATGATAGGGGTACCTTTGTAGTCAATGAAGAGAATAACATTACCTTTACCAGATGTGACTTCCTTTTATGTCCTCCACCTTAGACCAATCTACAGGAAAAATTTTAGGAAATCAGAAAGCATTACTTTTAACATAACGTCACTTGTCATTTACATCAGAGGAAAAAAAAAATCATGGATAAACAATGACTCAAAGGCTATCTCTTTAAGGATCTCATTAGAATCACAATAAACGACTGTATACTATCAAGTAATCAAAACTAAAATGTATTATCTAGCATTTAAACGGATCTGTTGTATTTTAACCATTTCTTTAGAGTTAAAACATCATAACCTAACTTCAATTTCCTTATTATTCAAGTAAAATTGATAACCTCTGACAAATTCATTTGGACATGCAAAATCTAACAAGACTAGCACATTATATTTTGCATTTTCTAAAAGTGAATTGGAAATATTGACCTCAGAAAAGACAAATAAACCATGAGGTCAGAAAGGTGAAAAACCTCTGATAAGGGCTAAAACATAAAAACTAGAAAACAAGATTCTCTTTGCAGAGTACATATTGATAAAAAGATAGGCAATAGAATTTAAGAAGTTCCTATACTCGAACTACAACAAAAACAAAAACATGATCTTCAGAATTTTGTGTATCACTTAACTACTGGCCTTACCACTCTTGTAATGTGACATGTCATGCAGTATCTTGAACAAGGTTAAGGAGATAATCAATGAAGCAATCTATTTCATTTTCAGCCCATCTACTTTCCAGATATAATGCGGAAGCAACAAACTATTTTTTATACCAACCTGCCCATTCCCAACAGTTTACATGACAACAAGGACGCAAAAGCACAAGAATTCAGTTCCCACCCATATTCCTCCTCTCAAATTGAAGATATACTTCACCAATATCTATCAAGTATACCCGAAGAAACAAAGAATCAATAGGCTAAACAAGCTGATAATAATAAATTTCAATTTTCAACCCAATTGCAGAAAAATAGCAACAGTTTGCAAAGGATACTCTTTACCAGTCTTTGCTCCCAAGATCGGTCCATATTATCTTCCTCGGATCTTATGAACCTATCACATACAAATTATTCAGACAAGCATTAACGTTAAAAATGTTGATGCAACCTACCACATTAAAGAACAAGGAATACAACTTACATACCGGTGACCTTCTCTTAGGGTGTCATGATCAGTTTTAACCGGCAGCTTGACATGTGAAGATGCTTCTCTACCATAAAAGCTAACTGCAACATAAAGTATTCATCAGGAGTTGCCAAAGCTGAATCATATAGAAACAACTAACAGGAATGACAAAAGCAAAAGGCCTACACAGTATTGAACAAGAAAACAAAGCTGTACATATACTACAGTACCAAAAGACAAGTAAGAGATTACAACAAAATCATTTTTATGAAACAACACCAAGAGAGAAAAAAACAGTTCACATTGATAAATAGGAAAGCTTAAAAGGTAAAAACTTATACGTACACTACACATGGACAAAAAGATTACACAACAAAACCTTGATACTCAAATGGCGTTAATAGTGAAGCATCCAACATGGCTATAAAGCATATAATAACTCCAAAGTCTACCACTAAGCATATGACTAGTCCTATAGCTACCTTCCCCAACGATCCAGTAGCTTACTCAGCTCACATGTTTTTATAAAAAGTGGGAAAATGTGGGTCTCATGGCGAATCCCAAATAATAAAAGCAGTGACACTACTCTCCACAAGTCGATAGGATGGGGCACCAACCATCAACGGAGGGGCTCCCCCGTCAACGTTAACATAAATTCTTAGTATTTGTATGGACAACTGTAGCCTCCCTTCCTTCTAATTGGAGGAGACTGTTCATCATCCATTTGCTTTAGGACACTAGGATTCAACAAATAAAGAGCTCACTATTTGCGAATGCTTCTTTTCTGTCCCTTCTTAACACTAATTAGCTCTAATTCACTTACAATTAAAAAAGTTCTAAACTTTGCCATTTCTTCATAGTACAAACCCAAATTATAATTTGATCATATATATAAATATATGAATTGTATAATCGCACCGTAATCTTTGACGAACTTTTTGTGGCGGTCGTAAGCGTTGAGGCCGAGAATATGAGCCTGGTACTGCCTGAAAATTTCCCAAAAAAAAAAACAAGAGATTAAATTAAAAATTGGACAGAGAAAGTCACAAAAGAGGGGAGAAAGCTACTGTTTTCTCTCTTCTCTGTCGAAGATTGCATATTTTAAAGACCCAAACGACGCCATCGATTTCAAAATGGAAGTTTCCGAGCTTCTTTCTTGCGCTGCAGTGAAACCCTAATTGACTGAATGATCCCTATCCGAGTGAAGGGGAAGGAATGCGATTTACGGCAGTCCAACCGCCGAGAACTTTAAATAGAAGGCGGAGACGGAGGGGGTTGAGGGAGAGACACCCTATTTGTAGTGTGCCTTTTTTTCTCATGTTTGAAAAGTGTGCTGCTTTTTCTCTTGTTTGAAAATAGAAAATGTTTTGGGACTTAACACTATGTTTCGACGAGATAAATGACAAAAGCAAAAGACTACACAATATAGGATTAAGAGAGAAAAAATGTTCACATTGATGAATAGGAAAGCTTAAAAGGCAAAAACTTATACGTGCACGTGGACAAAAAAGCTTACACAACAAAACATTAACACTCAAATGGCATTAATAATCAAGCATCCAACATGGCTATAAAGCATCCAATTGTTGTGCCTTGCCCGTTTGTTAATGCGAAAACGAGATTCAGATTACAACCTCACTAAATCACATTCAGTTGAACAGAATAAAATACAAGAAATAAAGACACTGTGAAATTTACGAGGTTCGGCAAAAACATGCCTACGTCCCCGGAGAGATATTGTTCTTCGCTATGAGAATAACTAGTACAAGTAAACATGAGTTAAATCAACATAACCCAATCCTAAATCTCTTGCACACGCACTCGTAGAATTTTCCCAACAACCTCACTCTACCCCAAGAATTCTTTCACTAGAATACTTTTCACTCTAGCTCTCTTGATTTTCTCTCAACCCATGTTCAACATTTCCCATGGGAGAGCTGGATGCTCTCCCCTTGGATGCTTCTATGATGCTTACCTTCCCACATTCTAAGCATTACTAAATGCACAAATATTGCATCTAGTTATAGGCATACACTAGCAAATATGCCAACAACCAAGACCAAAAAGTCTTAAGTTCTAACCCCTCTCTCTCTCTCTCCCCCTAAAAACTGTTCTTAAGATATAAATGCAGAAGAAACCGAAGAGATAAATGATCAAAACAGTTTGTAACCTTTCAATAGTCTTAAACTGAAAAGATCCAGTAAATACTGGAGAATCAACACACAGGGAAACTGAGTAATATGACAGAGAGAAGAATTTCAAACAAAGGATTTACAATCCAATTCCACAAAGCTGACACCAGAATACTAAAAGCTTGACTGCAAATTCCTTCAAAGTACACACCTGGAATACAAGAAACTTGTAATTCCGTTCACTTATATGAAGTAGAGTCAGACTTTTCACTTTCCTTAACAACAGAATAACAGCGTCGGCTTTAACGCATCTATGCCCTAGGCCTTAACAGAGACAAAATATCAGCATGCGAGATCAAAAGTAATTGACATACCCTAATTTCAGGAAAACTGAAGCAAAGAAAGCAAATTCAAGTTAAGTTCTGAAGATGTCAGTTCACCAATCAAACACGGTACCTGAAACATCTCTCGATTCAGCTCAATTACCAGAGATCCAGACCTCAGAGTGTTTCAGCTCACAACCTGATACAAATCGCCACAAGCATGATGATGTAACCAAAATTTTCCAGAGGTCGTGGAGATCAGACCAAGAATCGCACCATCAAGGCTATTCACGTAAACAATCGGTGGCTCTCAATATCATCATAACAATAATGAATCAATGATAATCTGTTTACACCTAGCAATTTATACGAAAAAGGAAAACCAGAGCTGAAGGAAAGAGAAATTGGAAAAGCAGAGAAAGAGACGAAACATCCGATAAATCCACATCATTCATAATCTGTTCACAACCAACCATTTATAGCAAACGGTGATGGCTTAAAAGTCCTCCCAAGCAGAGAAAGAATTGAAACTTCCAAAAAATCCACGCAACCATCGAATGTTTAGATCACCGACACAGGTCTCCATGGGTTACTACTCTTAAAACCAAAACCAGTCACCATTTGTGACAACAATACATGTGTACATCCAAGTTTAAACTATTACGAAATCTCTTCCCACAAACATCGCATTCCACATAACTATGGCTGTTCTGATGGACCTCCAGGGCATCATATGTTGGGAAAGGCCCAGCTTCACAAAACATGCAGACTAACTCCAACAACTCCAACCCCGGATCTGCAATGCAACATGTAAAACCAAAATGAAAATAAATATACTTCAGTTCACATACCAGACCACAAAAAGTAGAGCACATTGTCATCACCTTCAACTTCCTCAGTATTGACCTCATTATCAGCCACCTCAACCTTCTCGGTATTGATCTTATCATCAGCCACCTCAACCTGGGTATCGCTGTCATCATCAGTCCCCTCATAATCAGTTTCCTCGTGCTCACATGCGACGCAGGCCACTTCCTCTCCATCCCTACAAAGATACATAACTATGTGTTAAAAAAAAAAAAAAAAACCCAGATGGCATCAATACAAATATCAAAGTTCATTTTTAAGAAGATATACTTACGTGACTGCCTCCACCTCAATGCCACTTAGGTTGAGCATTATATATTCACCGTACCTTGCTCGTTCAACCCTTCTATCCCTCCAATCAGGATTGATGAAAATCGCATCAACAGAAACTGGGACCTGTAAAACAAATAGTTAAATCTCAATTAAGCATAAAGAAGAAGAGAGGAAATAGCAAAACCATTCTGAAAGATAAAAAGAGCACCTGCTGAGGCATAAGAATCAGTGTATCACCGACTCGAACGGACCCAGATTCCACATAACCAATATAAGCCGCTGCTGTAGTATTAGTTTCAAACGCTCTTTCGCAGATAGGCATTCTACAAACAAACCAAAAAAAAAAATGAAAGATTAAAAGAATCAAACAATCCAAACAGCAAAAACAAACATCAAGATTAAGAGAAGAACAAACGTACCTGAATGGAGCAGCACAACTTGTCCACCAAAATTCAGTGGAATCGAATGATTCAAACAGAGTGGGTCCGTGCCACCATGGACAAACACCATCATCTACTGGTTCTTTCATGTTTGAGCCATTTATACCAGACAAAGGTAAATATTGTACTGTGCAATTAAAAGTACAAAGTCAGATATGAATGAATAAATGTGATAAACATTTGATTCGGTGTCAAAGATAGACCTGTACAATTTTTGTGGTTGTCTTTCTAATACTTGCCTAAAATGAATCTACCAACGATCTAATCATCTTCACTATGATTATTACACAAGCCTACACTATTATGTTAGATTGGTAACCCGAAAAAAGAAGAAGAAAGAAAACTATAGAACTTGTGACACACCCCTATTTCCGTAGGAACGTAAAGGTTTGATAATCTCTCTCATCCTCGACACCGTATCATCATACCTGAGGAAAGTAGCACCATAAAGAACCACTAATAACATACGGGCAGGGCACACACAAGAGAGAACAGGGTACCTCTGCTGTGACCAGTTCACGGAAGGGCTATCCATCTGATTAATAACAACAAAAAGTTTTGACACGTGCAGTTCTTTAGCAAAGGTGATGTGGTCACGGGTCCACTTTTCTCCATTTTTCTTAAACGCATATTCCCATATATCGCATGGATCTTTCAGAGCACATACAACCTATAAAAAGAAAGGATATTAAGTAGGTGTAGCGTATCAAACAGATAAAGATCAATGCAGTAATTAATCATCACAAATTTCACTCACCAGTACACCTATATCGACTTTACCAACATCCTCCTCAATATCCTTGATCATATTTAAGCAATCATAGCAATCATGGCCCTGACAACAAACACACGCCACTCAAAACAATCCCACAACCACAAGCAAAAGCAAAGCGAAGATATATTTATGAAGACCATACGTATGATAAAACAAACAAACAACACAAAAATTATGAACAAAGAACAAACAGACAACTAAATACAAATGAAATTTTGGGGCTGTAAACCAATCATCCAAATACTGGAAAAGGCAGCACAGCCAAGTTGCTAAGGAAATAAAATTCACTCACGGGCACATCCAAGATTGTATATCTCGATGACTCTGTTTCCAGATGAGCTCGTCCAACTCCTACTTTACCCTGCATTAAAATTTCAAATAACAATTAATTAGAGCCAAAATAAGCTTCTCTTCTTCCAACACAAGCTAATGTAAGCATCTAGCAGTCACTTTACGAAACCAACAATTTCAACGATTTCAAATCTTACATTGCAAACACATTTTAATCAACTATTTCAAATCATACCTTGCGCCGCCAGTCTTTGTTGGTGTCCATACCATAGGCAGTAAACCTAGTAGATATGAAACAGGCATAGATAATGAGAGTGACGAAAAACATAAAAAACAGATGCGGCAAACGCAGTGGTCCATTAATGCATCTGATTACATTTAATGCAGTAAGAATTAAGACAACAAAGAGAAGGGGACAGAGACAGAAGAATACGAGATACCACTAAAGGCGTATAGTGATAACCTGTCAAACCTCACAAGAGACATAACACGACTGACTGATAATTTGCACACGTATGGAAAAACATGTAAGAACGGTACTGGTCTTTCGAGGAATGATGAGGGGACAAAAAACAATTTCCATTCTACGTTGCTTGTGTAATAACCTACAATGTACGGCTACAAGTTATGGCATCCTTCCAGTTTCGATTTTAAATTACACCTGCTAGAGAGTGCCCACAATAAAGTACGACAATGCTCATTCCAAACACATTTAAAATATTACATTGGAACCATATGTCAGTTTCCCCATGCATGCTTAGACAGAACAGAGATATCAACAGTGTACTTACCAGCTGCCCAGCCGTTTGTCCTTTGCAACTGTTTCATACTTTTTAACAGTCTCGGCATCGATCTGATTTGTCATGGATACTATGTGTCCTACTATTGTTGACTTCCCACTCCCTGCAACAAAAAACAATATCAAATAAAAATCAGGACTCCACAACAAATGAAAGTAAAATTGTGATAAAAAAAAAAACAAGCCTTACAAGTGTGGCCAAAAAAAGCAACATTCAGATGTCGCTTCCCGTCCATTTCCTTCCACTTCTCTGCATAATTAAACCAGTGATGCAATAATGTTTTATCTTTCAACCAATACAGAGACACCCAATAAGAAACAAAATAAATGCAGAATGAAAGAATCTCAAATCACCTTTCTGGTCATCCAAACCAACTAGGACAGAGTGATCATGCTTATGTACGCGCTGAATTACGCCATCATCTGAATTAGGAAAAGTAAAGACGCAAAGAGGAAACCAAAAATCATGTAAGAGTACTAGTTCAATTCATCTGTAAACTTTTTTATGTTTATTTCTCATTTTCGGTAGAGATTTCCGACGAACAGAGGGCCACCTTGCTCCTCCTTAGCGTCGCCCTTGTGTAGAACCGAGAAAATTTTGATGGAAAAAAGAAAAAACACAAGGAATTTTAATCGGCAACCAATTCATAAACAAAAACAAATTATAATTCTGAACTCAACGATGCCCTTTTACAACAAAAACCTACAGAACCCAATACATATTCTCAAAACCTACAGAACTCAACGATGCCCTTTTAGGTTGTATTTTCTTTTCTTACACTACAAGATTTTATATATAGAGAATAAAATCTCTACCTAGCTAAGGGTTACAATATTATGACAAGTGGCCGATTAAAATTCCTTGTATTTTTTCCTTATATTCTTACATGCCCCACAACCAAATCATAAACAAAACAGAGGAGCTTGTAGGAATTTTAATCTCTGTGGAAGAACGGGAAACCGTATTATGTTTCTTGGAGGACCACAAAATAGGGTTGTTGCCCAAGAACACAACCATGCCAGTAGTTGAATGTCGATCATTAAGGTCGCCTGTCCAGGCTGCATCACTAAAAGTCTTCAATGATAAATCACGCCGAGTATAAAAAATACCAACCGATAATGTACCCTTGAGATATCTCAAGATACGTTTAACTGTTGTGACGTGAGACACCATTGGAGACAGCATAAATTGGCAAACTTGATGAACTGAAAAGGCAATATCGGGGCGAGTGAAGGTAAGATATTGTAATGCTCCAACTATGCTCCTATACGCAGTTGGATTGTTATAAGGAGTACCATCATCCTTAAGCAGTCTATTGTAGGGAAGGCATGGAGTGTCACAAGCCTTAGACTCCACCATCACAACTTTCTCCGATACATCCTGTATATACTTTGACTGTGACAAGAATAAGCCTCGATCAGTCCTAGTGAATTGAATCCCCAGAAAGTAATGAAGCTCTCCCAAGTCCTTGATATCAAATTCAGTAGTTAAAGACTGAATTACCTGGTGAATAGCTATAGTAGTACTCCCAGAAATAATAATATCATCCACATAGAGTAAAAGGATGACAATATCACTACCAACAGTCTTGACAAACAAAAAAGAGTCATCATTCAAATGGCTTAAAGAAAAACAAATAATAATAATAATTATTATTATTATTATTATTATTCCCCCAGATTAGGTACCCCACCATTCAAATGGCTTGAAGCTTGATCCTCTTCTTTTGCATTTTATTTATTTGTGTTTTCATTTTCATTTCAGAACAAACTAACAAAATTTAAAAGGGTGCTGATTTAATTGTGCATGAAAAAATCTCCGTTGAGTTCAAAATTTGGAACGATTCTACATATTTTTTAAGTCGTAAAAAGATCCAATACTTATCACACACCAACTAGTAATTCACACTAGAATGAGAAAATAAACAAATAAATCTCACCAATTGAATCTATGCTTTGGTTAGGGCTTTGAGGGCTTGGTTATTCGTTGCACGTGATGAGACTTGATGAACGTCGTCGTCAGTCGAATCCGATTCCATGGAGGGACTTTGTCGTCTGTAAAATTCGCATATCCGACGGATGTTATCTGTAGATTTGATATATAATCATGAAACAATGATCCACCTCCGGCAAATCCAGTCAACGTCCGTCGAATATGTGAATTCAAAGCGAACATCCTCCACCGGATCGGAGCACGCATCACCCACCATGAAGCATTCTCCGTCGGAGACAAAGGCAACCTCCATCACATCGGAACACAAAACAAAAGAGTTTCAGAAGAGAAAACGGAAAGAGAGAGGGGGAGGGGGTTCTTGGGAGAGAAATAAAACATGCTTTCTGATGAAACGGGCAGTCTGCAGTATGTGTGTCATTTTTTTAACCCTAGTTAGTAGATACTAACGACGTGATCGAGACGACTCGTTGGAAAGTCACATTCCTCGCTAATTTCCAAGTATGCATATAATATATTCAATTAAATATTTTCACATAAAATCCAAAACAAAATAAATTAAAATAAAAGCAAATGAATTAAAATAAGAGAAAACATTGATGTGTGCGTGGCCAGTGGCCGGTACTGGACGCACACGTAACTAAGGTGGCTTGCTTTACGAGTCTAGCTTAATGGCGGAGACGGAAGCGGTACGAGCGGCGGTGACGGGTTGTATTGATAAGGGCTTTGAGGTGGTTCGGGTTGAGTCAGACTCCAAATGTCATGCGGACATGCTCAATGGGAATATGCAACCTGAAGTTGTGATTGAAGGCATCCTCTTTGATATTCAATTTTTGAAGCAACAATTGAGGTCAGTTAGTGTTAATCAAATTAGGACTTTAATTAACACTCCGTCCTTAAGTGTGTAGATGGCGCATCAAGTCTTCAACGATGGAATAAATACAGTTGATGAAGTCATCGTCATAACAAGCGAATACGAGTCTTAAATCATACAAAAGAAAGCATAAGGAAGATAAAATATATATATATATATATATATATATATATATATTGATTTCCCGATTTGGCCTTCTGGAACATTTGTTTACATATATCAGAATTAAATTGCCATAATTTTAGAGAAGATCAAAACAAACTTTCAAGCTTAGGCTTGTATATTGTTCTCTATAAATATTCGACTTGTGTGCAGAATTATATGTGGAATTTTGAAATACTTTGTGTAATTGCTTGTATTTCTCTTTTTAACTCGGACCACGTGGGTCGCATGTGCGCCTTCCCCGGTAGCCAGTAGGTATTCAGTATTCTGTTGGTTGGGAAATAATTTTTTTTGTGGTTGGGAAATATAAACTATTTAATTTGGCAGATATATTTCCTAATTCTAATAGGGGAGTTATTCCTATTCTTTAAGGGACTGAACTGCCTGCACATTGGTTCTCTTCTCTCCATATAAACCTTAGAACCCTTCAATCTTCTCCTATGCTTTCTCACCAAAAAAAAAAAAAAAGCAGAACCAAAAGCCTTTTCTGAGAGCTATGGATTCAGGTATGTTATGTTTCTCTTCTCTCTATTCTTCTTCAAACGAGTAGAAAATAGGTTGTACATCAGAGGCGTTTTGTTTTGTTTAAGCCTCCTGGTTTAGTTGTTTAATTTCCATGTTTATGCATTGTTATGATGACTGAGTTGTACATCGATCACTGATGCTGCATCCGCTCGACCAATTTTTTTTGTTTTTTAGTTGCTTAATTTCCATCATCTTTCTTTCTTATCCAAATTTTCCTTAATTTTGCCTTTTCAGATTGGAAAAATCTGCCTAACCACCTTCTGGATTTAGTGTTAGAGAAACTTGCATCGGATGACTTTTTGAGATTCAGTCTTGTTTGTATGTCATGGAGTAGTGTAACAAAGGATAATCCTCGACGGCCAGCCCCAATGCTCTTAGTTTCCAGTTGTGGCAAACAGGATACATGGAATGTATACAACGTCGAGAAGGATAAGGTTTATGATTTACAATTAAGGTTGCCGAACAAACGATTTTGTGGGTCTTCAAAAGGATGGCTTGTAACCGTCGATGAAACTTTCGCGGTGACCTTAATGAATCCGTTCGCAAGGATTCAAGGATGTGAAGAGAATGAAAATTCAATCATTCGCCTTCCTTCACTGATGCCTCCTTGTCCTACACGCACCGACTACTGGGCTCGACGATACGACCGTTATGTTCACAAGGCTACTATTTCAGCAGATCCGGTTTTAAATGCAGATGAATGTATTGTTGAGGTCATATTCGGGGATGGTTGTCTATTGGCTTCTGTTAGACTTGGTAAAGATAAAACTTGGACCTATCGTGAACATAGGACGCGGCACTTCATTGATGATTTTGTTCATGTTGGAGATAAAGTTTATTGCGTCAATACGTCTGGTAGACTTAACCTAGATGGGAAAATTATTGAACAACGTATAGTTCGCAAGAGGTATCTCGTGGATCTCAACGGGAAAGAAGTTTTAATGGTGAAAAGGTGCTTCAAGATGGAAAAAAAAAGGATCAGACGGCGATACCCCAGCTTTGTGACACAAAAATTTGAAATTTTTAAATGGAACTTTGAAGAAAGTAAGTGGATCGAGATGAAAAGTTTGGGTGATGTTGCTCTCTTTGTGGGGGCTAACGATTCGGCATCTGTTTTGACCTCAAAGTTACCAGGATGTCAACCGGATTGCATATACTTCAACTCAGATTGGCATTGTGTAGAATGGAATCGCCAAGACTATGGTGTGTACAACTTAAAGACTCACAGCATTTCAAAGCCTTACACCCCACCTGCTTTGACACTATTGAATATGACCAAGCAAAAGTCAATCTGGTTTCTTCCAACTCTTCGGTCGTGAATTAATGCTCCTTCCATCTCCTCTTCTTTTATTCTTCTTCTATCTGTAACTTGATGGTCTTACTCTTGTTCTTCTTCTACTATTATTCTAATTTCCAGATCCAAATTTTATTGTTGAAGGTTTTCCTTTAGGATTGTAACATTTGTTTCGCATAATATCGAACATAGAATACTTAAACCATAAAAGAACGTTCACATAATAGCGCGAATAATCTAAAATAAAATCCCAATTGGTTTTTCTGACAAATTATGTTTACTTGAAAGAAAGAATGATTTTCCTCTAACATTAGCTTATGGAACAAACTATATTTTCTTGAAAGAAAGAAATACAATAGACCCACCCCCACCCCCAACCCCCCCCCCCCCCCACGGGGGACCCTCGCAAAACAGAGTTGTTGGATTCGAAAATGGGTTATCCTAGCTTATCTTGGGGCACACATTACTTCATTACGTCTCATACCACGAAGACGATAGAAATCAGACATTTTCTTGACCAAGTAAGAGATTTTCCCCTAGTGACACATCTTGAGGAAATTGGAGTCAAATTTCAATGTCCATCCTATATGAAACCTAAGTTGGACGTCAACCCCATTACTGGTGTGATGGAAATTCCACATATGATAATTCAAGTCAACACAGAATCCGTCTTCACAGTGTTCAGTGAGGCACCATGAATGTTGCATTTTGTCTTATGTCATGCTTTTCAACCATCTTATCAAGTCTACCAAAGATTTAGACTCTCTCATTCACAAACAAATTATATACACCGAGTTGACAAAGGAGGACACTGTTTATTTGTTCAATAGGCTTTGCAATGACACTGAACGCATCTCCTTCTCTTGTACTGAACTCCAGATATGACGGCCCTCGACTGGCAAGCATCAAGGAAACATTCCCTCGAGATACTCTTCAAAATTATCTGTATCATCGTCTTCGTCATCAATTCTATCTTCACTAGCGGAGATTGAAGCCTTTCTCCCTGCAAAAAAATTAAAAATTAAAAATTCAAACCGGTGTAAAATGAAAATTATGAATATGAAACGACATAAAAAGAAGAAAGATGTCTCATCCTTGTAGCCATGTTGAACGATCCCATTAAAAGAATGCGATTCTCCTTGACCAGAAACATGCAGAACCAAGGGACACATATTCTCTCTAAAAACCCGTAATCTAAAGAAACATGTTCATACATTTGCAATCTTGATATAAACATTGTCATCTCCGCATGTAAAATTATTAGTTTTTGAAAACCATAAAATGATATAAATGATCTTCAAGCCTATCATTTAAGAGAACCGTTTAATCCAAACATCAAAAAGAAGACAATAAGAGTCTTTTGTAATATGTCAAATTGATCAAGATGCAAACAAAACGACATCTAATGACTCCCAGCGATGGAATTAACAGCAGGCATAGCAAATTATACTTGATGATGCCAGCAAAATACCTTCTAAACTTATGTAAAAAGAAATGACAAAAAATACAGAAAGAGCCTAAAACAGTAATGATAAACACGGACTAAACTCTGACAAGTTACCAATTTGACAAGGGCTTGTTTGTTTTCCCCAGCTTCATCACCTGCAAAATATATAATACCTAAAACAATTAAGACACAAACTTATTATGCGGCATAAATATAGATAAAAGATGCAGGGAAAGCGATCTTTGGGACTCCTAATCCAGAGGATTGAATACAAAAGATGAATAAAAATTTCCTCATTTAAGATAGACGTTCAGTGCAGGGGAAAAAGTTTTAGTCTAGACGCCACAAGGTAGTTCATCTTATCAAAATTATTTATTGACTTAGACTTCAACCAACTCCTTTGTATACTTCTTGTCTAACCAAGTCATAAAACGTGTAACAGGAGACCGGTAACATATGCAAGCAAAAATGCACGGTGCTGTTTGATACTGGATATTCTATCTATGCATCAGAAAGTTGAACATCCCCAAACAATGAAAATTTACAGGAGTCCACCATAAGAAGCAACCAATTCACCTACTACACTTGAATCTAACCCTGAAACCAGACTACAACTATTTGAAATAAATGTGTAGCTGTTTCAATTCAAATAGAAGCTACTCTACTCTTTTGTTGACACCCCTCTATATATATAAACCAACAAATGACCACAATGCCTAAAATAGTTCAGATTCTAATGAAAATAACCGATAGGAAATGGGTTGGGATGCTCTTACACTATTTCTGATGACCCCAGGTCTCTTCTAATAGTACTAACTCTAGCTGACATTTAGACTCCCGGGTTTAAATACCCTAAACACTGCTATCAAAAAGTTAAAGCGGTGGCGTAATGGGGTATTGCAATCTCCCCTCCTTTTGGGTAACCGTAGAGTTCCTACCATGAACTCGAGGAACACAGTCAGGGATATCGTAAAGAATATTAATTTTCACGCCAAAAAGAAGCATAGGAGGGAATTTTATGCCCTCAACAATATTCTGTAAGTCCCTCTGAATTAAGCGATTATATACGAAATAAACAAAAATATAAGCACAAATCATTTGGGTATCTTTAACATGTAATTATATCTTTAATCATACGCAATTATAGAAAATAAAAAAATTAAAAAGCATGAACAAAAAATTCAAATTTTAAATGTGAAATACACGCAAATGGTGGATTGCCCTGGTTGATAGCGGGTTGAAATCTTCGCCTCCCCTTAATCTAGCTTAGAGTAGCAACATCGTTCCTAATCAAAATAAATACATGTGAAATACACTGTCCTACTCCACTAAACCAGGCTAAATTTTCAAAAGCTTTTGCATCAAATGTTCAATTAAACCAAAAATTAGGGGGCAAAGCTGGAAATTTGGGCTCACTTTTCTACATCCAAAACCAAAGCTCGAAACTTTCTAATATTTTCTCGCTGACCAAACAGATATTAGAAGGAGATTTTCTAAGAAAAACAACAATTCAAACATGCAGACACTTTGGAGCAAAAAATTGGGAGGGAAAATCTTACAGTGGTGAGCCAAGTAGCAGGATAAGAACCCTAAGAAGAAGCTTTGATTTCAGGGATGGGAAGTTGTCGATGCAAGTCTCATTTTCTGTCTCTCTCTCTCTACCTTCTCTTTGCAACCTTAAGAGAGAGTGGAAGGTGACACAGACAGTTTAAAATATGAAAACCTTTTTTAAAATATTATTCTGGAAATTAAATTAATATTCATTAGTTTAAATTGTAAAGAGAAGTTAAGATGACTTGACAAAATTAACCTTACAATTTTCTCCTTCTTTCTATTTACTAGTATATGCCCACATACAAAATGTGTGTGAATTTTTTACTTTTGTTTTTAAAATTGAAGGAGTGAGGAAGAGAGTGAGAGAGAACGTGGGAGTGGGAAGAGAGGGAGAGATCTTTTTCTTTAAATTAGAAATGATAAAATTACATGTAGGTGATGTTTAAACAAAAAAAGAAAAATTTTGTTTTGTAAAATTACATTCCTATTCTTAACTTTTTGTTGTGATAGTGATAGAAGACAAAAATATCTTTTTGTTGTGATAGAAGATAAAAATATATTTTTGTCTTCTTTTGGTTGACAAAATGAATTTCATTAATATGTAGTTTGGATATATAAATTTGACTCATGTTTTGAGAATTTCAATACCAAGTAATTATGTATAGTTCGTTGTGTAGCTTAGTTGAATTCTCAATCTCCAAATATAGAGTGAAGATTTGATGCATGGGGAACCGAAAAAGAAAACACGAATGAAAAAAACAAAGGTTACAATCTTTTTTTTTTTTTGGAGTATGTTTTTTTTTCAAAATTTTCCCTACATATATATATTGTCAAATGATAGATTTTGTTAGATTAATCAACAACAAGATTCGAACTCATGTCGTCATATAAGAGCTCAACACTTTTTCACCACTGTGGTAAATGGTCACTTGCAAATTTTTTTTTTTTTTCGATACTTATACATACAATTTTTTTTTTAAGTGATGAAAATAAGTGGCAGGGGGTAATTTGGGCAATGTCCACCATTTACTCTCCAACTAATTTTGAAGTCTAGAAGCTTGGCCAGCGTGAATTTTGTATACAATTCCAAGTTAAAATTTTAAAGAAATTTTTTTCTTTCAACAAGTAGATTCAGAATTAAGAAAAGGACAAATATGAAAATAAAGGCGTCGCAACGTGTCGGCCTAGCAGCGTGTCCAGTGGGTCCCACTACTCAAAGCTATTTGAGCATTTTCCCAACGAACCAGGGTAGCAGTCAAACACATGTGCTACTTCTGCCACGCAATGGACTTGGGAATATGATGGGCACCCACGTGTATCCTGGTAAGTAAGGCCTTTTTCCAACTACTTCATATATATATAGAGGTGTGTTTGTTGTATCGGATTATTTCGAACTGAATTAGTTTGGGGATTAATTTGGATTGGCTTAGACTAGATTAAGCAGAACTAACTTAATAAAACGTTTGGTGCATTGTCGAACTAAAAAGTTAAATAATAACAAATTTTAATATTATATTATATAATTCATATTTATTAATATTTTATATTATTTAATACATATTTAGTAATATTTTATTACTACTACTGGCTGGTTCTATTCCCAATTCTTTTCCACTAATCCCCCTTTTCTTCCTTATTTTGCTTTGTCCCTCTCCCTCTGTTTCTTCCAAATTTTTATCCATCCCTCTCTTCATCTCCATCTTTTTCTTCGTATTTCTCTTCGTTCATCTTCCTCTTTTCTTCCTAATTTTTTGTTTAGAATTTGGGATTTTGAAATTGGAAATATTGCAGAATTTTTTTTGCCTATTTTGCTTCGAATTTTGCGAGGTTTGGATTTGGAAATGGTAGATGAGAGGGGCGAAGCAGGGCATAGTTTGTATATGGGACTGGATTTCGAATCTTGCAAGGGACAAGTAGATGGGAGGGGCGAAGTGAGGAGGGACGAAGCAAGGAGGAGTTGGCTTAGTTGTGAAATCCCGTTCCCGGAATTTCAATATTCGTTACGTATCTCGTAGTTTAAATTCGTATTTCGCAATTACGTTATCTTTAATAGTTAATTTTAATTCCTTTTATTTTAGGAATATTTTTTTTGGTAAAATTTATTTTAGGAATATTAATTGATTGGTTATCGAGTTTGAAGTTTCATAATCAATCTTTAGCATTCGTCGACCTTTCGAAGTTACAACTAGTGTTTTCAAATAGATCTCATAACCACGAGCGCATAGGCGAAAGTTGTTTGTGAGGCCGGATTATAGTGGTATAGTTACAGACATTTGAAGCTGTTTTTTCTAAACTTTAGGTTTTAAGTTATTTAAACTCTCACCCTGTGGGAAAGAAGATAAATCATATTAGTGAGTGTGGACCAATTAGACAATGGCTGGAGGTCAATTAGGTATGTGTATTTGTGGACCAATCAGAAAATAAGGTGAGGGAGGCAGCAACCAATCAGAGGGGATGGGGAGAAAATAAAAATCCCGACTCTCCTTCGTAGGAACTCTCTAGAACTCTTTCTGTTTTCTACTCCTAGATGATCTCATCAACTCCAAGCCTCAAGAAGGAAAAAGATTCTCAAAACTTAAATCCCCAGAATTGTAAAATATTGAGGGGAAAATCCACATTCTCACTCTTGCTCTGAGGCAGAGCAGCAAAGGGAGAATCTCACTTCAATTTGCAGCGGTGGTCATCCAATTACAACAACAACAACAAAGGGTGTTGGCGAGTGGTGAGGTTTTTTTTGTAAATTTAGAATTCTGTTGATCTGTATGATTATGGTTGTTGATATTTTTGGGTGCTGAAGAGTGTGAAACTGTGGGTGCTGGCAAGTGGATATTTTTGGTTGAGTAGATAGATTCATGTATGTTTGCAAGGTGTTTGATTTAATACCCAAGAGAACTTACGCTTAGTTTGTTCTATGAAATTGTTGTATGTGGATGCTGAAACTTAATTGTTAGTAAACAACCAAATGTTAATGTGGATCTTCATTAAGTTCTATTATTGATAAGGTTATTAAATTGAGTTAAACCAAACCACTGTTTTGTTATATCGATTAACAAGCAAATGGTATTACCTTATGGATTCCGAGTTATGTTATATGAAATGCTTCTTTCGTTACCAAGCATCTAGACCTAGAAGGGAATTCTAGTTGAAATAACATCCTTGTTAATTTTGTGCTTATTTGAGTGTGTTTGGTTGGGATTTAAGAGTTTAGATTGTTTACTAGTATTTATATTCAAATTAATAGTAAACAAACCAATTTCTCTTAATATATATATTTGCTGCATATACATGTCAAAAATGGGTAGTGGCAAGAGTGAAGAGATAGTGTTTTAAGTTGAAAACCATTAACTTTAGGTTGGTTTATTAAAGGATAGAGAAAAAAGGTTACGAAGCATAGGAATAGAACCTTACGATGTTGATTGCATAGATGAGAAATAATATGTATGGTTACTAGTATGAAAATGTGACTTGGTTTTATAAATGTGTTTTCTATGAAAATATCAGTCTTTTATAATTGGCCATCAATCTATTTTATCAAATGTGAATTGATTCATGAATTGGAAATATTTGTGAAAAAGTGATTTGAAATGCATATTGAAATGCTTGTTAAACTAAGGGCTAGTAGGGGACCGTTACCCTCGTGTCACGAGGTTAGGTGACATCGAATTTGCACCATGTAGCAGTGATACATGGATGGTCCTACTTGGTTAATCTGCGTTGGGGGACCATACTATTTATGGATCGTGCTTGGTTAATCTGCGTTGGGCGATCCTTATGGCCATTTATACTTAGGGGTGATCATGCTTGGTTAATCCGCGTTTGGTGATCACTGCTTAATAGTTCTGTAGGTGTGACTCTGCTTGGTTAATCCGCTTTGGGGGGTCACTACCTACCTAATTATCTTGACCCTGCTTGGTTAATCTGCATTGGGGAAAGGTCACTAGTGGTCCTACTTAGTTAATCCGCATTGGGGTACCATATTATATATGGATCACACTTGGCTAATCTGCGTTGGGTGATCTTTATGGCCATGTATACTTAAGAGTGATCATGCTTGGTTAATTCGCATTGGGTGATCACTTCCTAACAACTGTAGGAGTGACTCTGCTTGGTTAATCCGCATTGGGGGGTCACTGCCTACTTGGTTACTTTTTTAGGGGTGACTATGCTTGGTTAATCCGCTTTGGGGGGCCACTTCCTGTTTGGTTACTTATGTAGGCTTTGGCCGAACTGCGTCCATCTAGCCCTAGTTTTTAATGTACATATGAATGAGGGTTTTTGAGAATCTTATCGTTTGAATTAGAAAAGCCGTTGGATGTCTGGGTGACTCATTCAGAGTTTGCAGCGACTTGACTATGATTTCATAAAGCATGATTATATACTCGGTGTCTATAGATTGTGATCGATAGTCTGTTTTTACTAAATATCACATACTTGTATTATTGTCACTCACCCAAGCCTCGTAGTTTATCTAAGTGTATGATTTAACTAATGTACCATTTCCATAATGTAGGCATTGATTTTACATGTGACAGATCTAGGTAGATTACGAGAAATCGCTTAATATTTTGGATTCCGTTGAGTGGTACGGAATCCTTGCTCTTACTCATTTCCATAAGGTCATCTTATAATCCTAGATTCGAGTGAATGGAAATTACCACAATAGATCTTGTGAATCCAAATTAGAATTACCATGTTATAATTCATAATCCAAGTAGGGAATTATATAGAGGCTTGGTTAAATTCGTGAAATGATAAATTATCGCATTGTTTGATTAACGTAATTAAATGCTAAGATCGTGCATCTTTGAATCATGAATTGATTAATTGACAGATTGTGGAATGACGCTGGATATGAGTTGTTATTATGATTATTTTAGTTGATCAATGTTTCTAGAGAATAATATTGTGCATTTTTAATTCTTTAATATGTTATACGCTATGAATTGTGATTTTATTTGCGAAACATGATGATTTATGTTATGGATGAAGTGGAAATGTTAATCGTCATGTGGGATTGTTATGTTGGATATCATTGTTATTGATATGAATAGACTTGTTGATAAATATGGCTAGAGAATATGATTGTGCTTAGTCGTTTGTTCTTTGAAATATTGCATGATATGCATTGTGGTATATTG